AAATTTTATTCAGAGTGAGTTATTATTGGTACATGATTTAACAAACATTAATATGATATGCTACATATTTTGAATGATAATGATTGAATAAAACAGGTAAATATTTTTATTGAATCTGTAGTACTTAATCAGATAGATGAGACATTCCCCCCAATTATGTAACATACACAGGAATGAGCATTATTTATTACTACAATGAGAGAGTTGAGAACTAATTCTAATCCTATTATGGGTTTTTATGTATGTAAGCACTTAGAAATATTTTTCACATAAGGACGTATGTAGGAATTGAGCGTTTTTGAACTCCTTCCAAGGACGTGCCAAATATCACATGGTGATTTATCACAACAACTGCTTTCATAATCCATAGACAACTCAAACAGGTTTTTCCTTAATTTTGTTGAAAGCGAATAACTGGAAACCTCTTGATATATAAAAGTGTTTTGTTACCCTGTCATGAGTGTCTTATCTCTTTTTAAATTTGTGGTAATTCAAAAATTCATTATCAAGACAGATCAAATAGTCATTATTTCTTCCTTCAATTCTTACTTATGGGCACTTTGCTTAAACTGATATACTCAGAAAGGATTGTGAATACTGAAAAATTTTTACTTTCAAAACACCTTTGCCAGGATTGTTATTTTTTTCCCACGAGCTGCTTTTATTGTGTGCTTTATGTATATATTTTCATCAAAACCTTGGAGCTACCTATTTTGCTTGTCAACATATGGATGCCATGTGTCCTGGTTAACCTGGTTAGCTAAACCAGTTCTCATTGCCCAAACAATCAAAAGGATGTACATGAATCTCCATAGCCCTCATTTCTTTTCCTAACTCCTCTTGATTATTGCCATGGGCTTTGTATGGTAGAGGAGAAACAAGAATTGAGCCCAGCTTATTTTGGTGGCCCCAAATTATTTTTGAATCATTTTAGTGGAATTTAAATTTCATGTTTCAACTACTTCAGGAAACGAAGAACTGGCCAGGCACAGTGACTCATGCGTGTAATCACAGTGCTTTGGGATGCCGAGGCAAGAGGACTATTTGAAACCAGGAGTTTGAGACCAGCCTGGGCAACAAAGCAAGACTCTGTCTCTATTGTTTATTTTTTTTTGAGACGGAGTCTTGCTATTGTTGCTCAGGTTGGAGTGCAGTGGCGTGATCTGGGCTCACTGCAACCTCCGCCTCCCAGGTACAAGCAATTCTCCTGCCTCAGCCTCCTGAGTAGCTGGAATTCCAGGCACCTTCCACCATGCCCAGCTAATTTTTGTACTTTTAATAGAGATGGGGTTTCACCATGTTGGCCAGGCTGGTCTTGAACTCCTGACCATGGTGATCCATCTGCGTTGGCCTCCCAAAGTGCTGGGATTACAGGTATGAGCTGCCACACCTGTCCTATTTTTTTAATTAAAAAAAATTTTTTTAATGAAAAAAAAAAAAAAAAAAACCCTAAGTTCACAGACTTCACAAAGGTACATCCATCCCTAGCTGTTTCCCACCCTCACCACCCATGCCAGTGACTGCATATTATTTTTACCTTTTTGCTCTTTGACAGAAGGAAGTCTGACATCAACACTACCTTATTTCCATATCCTGCAGATTGGGAAGGAGCTTTCTAATGGGATATTCATGATGGCAATATTTTACAAAACAAAAAGTTGGAGTTCATAGATTTCCTTTATGGAAACTCATCTGTACTTAGTGGTTTTATTGTTTGTGTATTCAATTCATTTACTCAACAAATATATATTGAGACACCCTATATACAAAGACTGGGGACACAGCAGCAAATAAGTGAACAGGACCAGACACACTGCCTGCCTTCAGGTAGGTTATGTTATAGTGGAGAGTCTGATGTTAAAGAACGAATTGCAAAATTAATCATTCACTACAATGATGAAAACTTCTATGAATAAAAAATAAGGCGATGTGAGAGGCTGTAAAAGGGGATTGATCTCTCCCAAGGATCAGGGAAGGTTTTCTTGATGAAGTGACATTCTGTCAGAGAGTTGAAAAATTAGATGGTATAAGCCATCCTAGGTGGGGACTGTTGAGAACAAGCATGCACCAAGGCTATGAGGTAAACATAAATGTGTTTAAGGCCTTTTTTTTTTTTTTTGAAGACAGTGAGTGAGGGAGATAGAGAGAAACAGATATGGAAACAACCCAAGGAAGGGCTGGAGATGAGATAGTGGTCAGATGTCACAAAGCCTCACTTGTAGGAGGTTTTCACAATGTTGATTTTATTTAAAGACCAATGGCGGTTATAGGGATTTAAGGAAAGAGATGAATAGTCAGATGTGCATTGAAAAAAAATCATGGGGCCAGAGAGAAAGCTGAGATATCAGCTAGGATGTTCCTGCAGTGGTCCAAAAGGGAGATACTGACGGCTTGGACTAGAATGATGGCAATGGGTGTGGAGAGAGATGACTTAAGGGATGGGTAGGATTTAAGCAGGTAAAATGCATACACAAGAAAGATTCTGAGTTGGGATGGAGCTCCCTGGGTGCTGCTACAGCTACGCACACCGCAGCTGCTGACCCTGGCCTCTTGCTCCATGGAGCAGGCAGAACCCCTGCCCTCCTGGGCGGGGCTGCAGCCACCCAAGCTATAGCTGCAGATCTGAGTCTCCCTGTGATCTTGAGGGTCCAGGAGCAGGCAGGAGCCCTGTCCTCCTGGGTGCAGCTGCAGCTGCTCAAACTGCAGCTGCAGACCCAGGGCTCCTGCTCCAAGAGCCGACAGGATCCACCCCACCCCCAGACTTAGGCATCACTGCACTCTTGGGGGCCTGGAAAAGTCCCCTTTGTCCTTGCTGGCTCAGGAGTGCTTGCTCCCACTGCCTGGCTTCTCCTTCTGTCAGCACCTGCTCTGATGGGAGCAAAGTCCCTGCAAGCCCAGAGTTGACAGTAGCAGGAGGTAGACAGATTCCAGAGCGGAAGGGGGCAGGCCCCTGGTAAGTCCCCTCCTTCAGGCCAGGGAGGGCCTTGAAGACTGGAGGCTGGGTGACCAGTCCTACGAACTGGAGTGGAAGCTTGTGGTGCCTTTTCCAGGCCCTGCCATGGCCACCCATGGACCAATCTGTGTGCACTTCCTCACCTCTGAGGTTTATAGAAGCTCCAGGATCAGACAGAGCTGAGCAGACATCCCAACAACCAGCTTCAGGGAGAAGCTACCTTCTCTGCTGAGAGGTTCAGAGATCTGCAGAGATGTTGAAACTACCAGCTGTAGAGAGGAGCTACCCTCTCCAGGGCCTCCTCTCTGTTGAAAGCTGAACACTCCATGGGATGACCTACTAGTAGAGAGCAACTACCCACTGTGGTCTTTTCTGAGCTGTTCTAAGAGTCAGTAAAGCTCCTCTTCATCTTGCTACCCTCCACTTGTCTGTGTACCTCATTATTCCTGGATGTGGGACAAGAGCTTGGGAAAAGGTGCCACCAGCCACAGAGGTTTCTGGCCAGAAGAGCAACAACCCAAATATGCTGTAACATTTCAACATCCCAACATGTGACATTATTCTTTTCAACACACCTCCACCTCCACCCAAGTTGGCTTCTATCACTTAATATTTTTTCCAATGTTGAAGATTAAAGATAGAATCATGGTATTTTATTTTGTATTTATTTTATTACTAGTAAGATTAAGCATTAGTTATTTGTATTTTTATTTTTAAATTTTCTTTTATTTGTTCTTCTATTAATTTGCTTATTGTCTTCTTTGTGCCATGTAAGAACTCTATTTTATGGTTCTTATGTATTAAATGTATATTTCACATATTTTTATCAGCTTGTGGCTTAATTTTTGAGTTTGGGTTTTAGTGTTTAAAAAATAAGTTAAAAATTAAGTAATTAAATTTATCAGTCTTTTTATTGTGGGGTTTCTCTCTTTCACATTTTACCAATAAATGCCTTGTTAATACCGATATAATATAAACAGCATTTTTGATATGAAAAAGGAGTTCTTATTATTCAGAATTTGAGGACCACTGGTGTGAGAAACAGACAGTTCATGGATGTGTACTTATGTTGTCACTGGGAAGAAGCTGAAACACTGTCTGCTTTGGAGAGAGTTTCAGTGGCTTGTGGATCTTTAACAAGTTTCTTGCTTATCAAAGTTGAAAATATGAGAACTTCTTTCCTTTTGTTTTCATTTGCTTTTCTTGAAACCACAGAGAGTCTTGTTTTTCAGGCAATCCACTACAAAGTGCAAACATCAAAAGGAGCCCATCTTGGTATTAAAGTTTGGGACTTTGGAGGCAGGGGGTTAGCTATGTTTTTGAAGTTAGATAATAGTGATGGATCACATTTTCACAACTTATGTTGCATTGTTTGTCATGAAGAGGAAAGCATTTCCACTTCTCAAAAAAAAAATATATATATACACACACACACACACACACACACAAGCATATATATAATGCAATATTAAGTGTGTAAATCATATACGTGTCTTGTTGAGTACTTAGAATATTGATAAATATATAAATGAAATTCTGGTTTATCTAATGAACTCAACTTTAAACAGTTGGCTTACTGATTTCTGAAATAAAAAGCCATTTATTTATTTATTTATTTATTTTAAAGACAGAGTCTTGTTCTGTCACATAGGCTGGAGTGCAGTGGTGCCCTTATAGCTCACTGTAACCTTGAGCTCCTGGGCTCAAGCAATCCTCCCACCTCAGCTTCCTGAGCAGCTGGGACTACGGGTGTGTGCCACCATAACTGGCTAATTTTGTTTTCTCTTAGGGACAGGGTCTCACTATGTTGTTCAGGCTGGTCTTGAGCTACTGGCCCCAAGCAATCCTCCTACCTTGGCCTCCCAAAAGCTCTGGGACTAGAGGCGTGAGCCACCAATGCCTGGCCGAAAGGCCATTTAATGATTTGCTTTTATTGTGAAATTGATTAATCACAACATAAGTATTTTCTCTCCCCACTCAAAGAGATATATGTTTTTTATGAACACTTTAGTCTCACATTTAACTGAAAATTTTTTTTCTCTTCTAGTTTTTGTTTCTACTACGATGACATCATACATGGCTATAGATGGCAGTGCTCTTGTAAGTATCTTTCGGCATACCCCAGGCTTTAGATATTGTCAGTCTGATAAATGAGTAAAATAATAGGTTGATTTCAAATTTGGCTGGCAATTTATTGTCCTCAATTTCATTAGCCACAGTAGAGCCAAATGACCCTGTTTTAGGTTTAAAGGGTCTTATGATCACCAAGCATTTAGGACCTCTAGATTTTTACTTTTAAAGTTTAAGCTGCATACCATGGTTTTAATATACTGTACATAAATTATATTTTAAGAAGATGCTAGCTATGGTACTGGTGGAACCTCTCCTGCAACCTCTATAGGAAAAATTCTGTTAATAATTTCATGGAAATCATGAGGATCTTTTAAAACAATGTTATGGTCATATGTTTGCCTAAGATAGGTAAGTGAATTGAGCAAGTATATAATCTCTATTAGACAAGGAAACTTATGCAGGGAAAAATTAGGAAGTTTATGTTAGTAACATGGCATTTCTAATAGAAGGGGCTGTGGAGTGGTGTGGGATTGCATGGTGTGCTTCTTTTGGCAAATCTAGTGACTACCTGATAGGACAGAGTTTTAGGAGCAGAGCTAAAAGCAGAATCAGAAATGGTGTGTTAGGAGGATGAAGTATAGACTTTCTGCCAAATCTTGAATGTGGACAGTGGTTTCTTGATGCAAATTAGAAAATGGATATCAAGGGAGTTTGTGGTAACAAGGATGAAAAAACTGAGTTATCTAGACAGTTCCTGAAAGACACCTGAGTACAATGCAGGGTGGCTGATATATCCTTCCCTTGGCTTGCTAACAATTTCGTATCCCTGAAATTGAAAAGGCAATGAAAACACTTTAATTCTGGTGCTAATTCTAATTAAGGAGAAAACTTATTAGGTATGAAAAAAAAGCAGGAAACTTTGAAACACCACACTGCAAAAATTAAAAATGAAAATACAAATTATAAAAAGTTATGTATTGGCTGTGTGCAGTAGTTCACACCTGTAATCCCAGCACTTTAAGAGGCCAAGGCAGATGGATCAGTTGAAGTCAGGAGTTTGAGAACAGCTTGGCCAACACGGTGAAACTCTGTATTTACTAAAAATACAAAAACTTAGCTAGGAGTGATGGCATGCACCTGTAGTCCCAGCTAGTCAGGAGGTTGAGGCAGAAGAATCACTTGAACTCGGGAGGTGGAGGTTGCAGTGAGCTGAGATTGCGCCACTGCATTCCAGCCTGGGTGATCGAGTGAGGCTCCATCTCAAAAAAAAAAAAAAAAAAAAAAAAAAGGAAAAAGATTATCCAAGCATGGTGGTATGCACCGTAGTCCCAGCTACTTGGGAGGCTGAGGCAAAAGAATTGCTTGAATCCGAGAGGTGAAGGTTGCAGTAAGCTGAGATCGCACCACTGCATATCAGCCTGGGCAACAATGACTCCATCTCAATTTAAAAAAAAACAACAACAAAAAAATAATGATTCTGGACCTTTACCTCATACCAGATGTAAAAATTAACTCATGGCTCAGGCCTGTAATCCCAACACTTTGGGAGGCCGAGACTAGCCAATCGTGAGGTCAGCAGATCAAGACCATCCCAGCTAATTTGGTGAAACCTGGTCTCTACTAAAAATACAAAAATTAGCCGGGCATGGTGATACGTGCCTGTAGTTCCAGCTATTCAGGAGGCTGAGTCAGGAGAATCCCTTGAGCCCAAGAGGCAGAAGTTGCAGTGAGCCAAGATTGTACCACTGCACTCCAGCCTGGGTGACAGAGTAAGACTCCGTCTCAAAAAAGCAACAAAAAAAATTTAACTCAAGTGGGAGGATGGCCTCACCAGCACACACACAGGCCTGAATCATGAATGGGGAATGGCCAATAAACATAAGGGGTTTCTTAAAAAAAAAAAAAAAAAAAAAAGAGGTCATGCATTGTAGGATATTTGCCATCTAAAACTTGGAGAAAAGGAAGGTGTGACCCAATGGAGATGGAGGGGTGGGTGTTTTTTGATAATAGAAATGGGAATAATCACAAGGAACATACGTAAGAGGAACAACTAGAGAATCAAGGTGGCTACAGTGGGAGACTTTGGCTAGGAGTTGATACAAAGACCGTTTATGGGGTGCTAAAAGAGAGTCCTGTGGTCAAGGTTAGACACAAATGGACATCACGGATCTGTAAAAACAGAGTCAGGAAGTGGAAGTTCTGAGTAGCCAAAATGAAAATTTTTAAAAAGGAAAAAATCCATTTTAAGATTGTAAGCACGTGTGTATGTGTTATTTGGAACAAAGACATAAAAAAGAGAAGATTAGGATTGTCGTATCCTTGGGAAAGGTAATGCAATGTTTAATTCTTATAATGCTCCACCTTTTCCACTGAAAGGATGCAGTCTTCCAACTGGAGAAAGTTCATCTTACAGGTTTAGGAAGAACTGGAAATCAAGGTAATAACAGAACATTTAAGTACTTTATATTAACATTTTTTTTTTTTTTTTTTTGAGACGGAGTCTCATTCTGTTGCCAGGCTGGAGTGCGGTGGCATGATCTCGGCTCGCTGCAACCTTGCTGCCTCCCGGGTTTGAACAATTCTCTCCCTCAGCCTCAGCCTCCCAAACAGCTGGGACTACAGGCGCACGCCACCATGCATAGCTAATCTTTGTATTTTTAGTAGAGATGGGGTTTCACCGTGTTGGCCAGGATGGTCTTGATCGATCTCTTGACCTCATGATCCACCTGCTTCGGCCTCCCAAAGTGCTGGGATTACAGGTGTGAGCCACTGCACCTGGCCTAAATTAACAAATTTATTTGTTCACTGGAACATTCACTTAATATTACCAACCATTACCTATCCTGATTCTACCATGCATCAGGCACTGTACCAGGTAGGGTAGAAACTATAGATTTAATTGGCTTTGGACAAGTTAAAATCTCTACATCTTACAAGTATGTCCCTGGGTATTGGGATAAGATCACAGAAGTGATTACCAGAGGACTAACGTACCATCCATGTAATTCCCGACCTAGAGTCATTATTCCCTGTCATAGGTAACTGGGCTTCCTTTGGTCTTCTGTGCCAATGAATTCTACTTTTATTAGTGGGATTCTGGCTACTTATGAATCTTTCTTATTTCATGAGCCATCTCCACTCTTAGACTCAATCAGCCAGCTTCCTTGTGTGTCTATTTTTGTGTTATTTTTATCTTACAGCCGTCAGCGTCTGGGCGGCACTGCTGAACATTTCTTTGAAGCATTGCTTCCAGCGGCTTTTCAGTGGTTACCCTACTTTATCTTTCCATTCAGAAAATTAGTTCAATTTTCTGCTGTCATTTGTTCTCTAAATAAAATGTAGCACAGGAGACCTATTTTTATGCCAGGTAGTTTCAGTAGGTTTGACACGTTTGACCTAATCACATTTTGAATTATACTTCATTTCCAGTAAAATAACACTTATTGAGTTATATGGGTTGAACAAACTGCTTGTTGCTGGGGTATAAAGATGAGGCGCTTACCATCTTTTTGGGGGCTGGGGGAAGGAATATACCTTTAAGGTCCTTTCATTGATGCTAGCCTGTCAGTTTTCACTGAGGCTGGTATGGTTAGTGGTGCTAAGAAAACTGCTCAGAATTCACAACTAAATTCTAAGTGCTGTTTGAAATTTTATTATGTATATACCAAATAGCACTGTCCTGTTTTTTTCTAAGCTGAGTTGTTACCTGATAGTATTCTTTTCCCTCTCCTAAATGAAACAATGGGATTTTCAAAGCTAAATTTTCATGTGGAACAAAAAGTATTAACTCACCAAGTCCCATCAATTCAATCTCTTACATATTTCTCCATCTTCACAGCCATAACTCTTGCCCTTTTCCCCTGGGCTTTTGCCTCTGGCTCTATGTCCCTCCAATCCACTTGCTACACAACAACCAGAGTGAATGTTCTTAGATGGAAGTCTGATTATACCACTTGCCTGCTTACATCAGTTCAATATCCCATTGTCCTTTGGATTAACTTCATAGTTTAAGGCCGGGAGAGGTGGCTCGTGCCTGTAATCCCAGCACTTTGGGAGGCTGAGGTGGGAGGATCACTTGAGGTTAGGAGTTTGAGATCAGATCTGGGCAACATAGCGAGACCCCATCTCTATAAAAATAACCAGGCATACTGGCTCGTGTTTGTAGTCTCAGCTACTTGGGAGGCTGAGGTGGATGGATTGCTTAAGCCCAGGAGATTGAGGCTGCAGTGAGCCACTGCAATCCAGCCTTGGCCACAGAGCAATACTCTGTCTCAACACACACATACACACACACGCCCCTTTAGAATCTGGCTCATTGTATGTTGGGAAATCTTCAACATAGTTTTTAGATTTGATACTATCCCCAAAGTTCTCTAAGAATTGGTTCAAAAAAAAAGAAAAAAGAATTGGTTCATGTAGTCCTTGATATTGATAAAGTTTCCTTGAAACACACCGTGGTGATAACAAAGTGTTATGCACAAAATCATGATTGCTTAGTTTTCTTTTATGATCAGTTTCTCATTAAAATAAATAAATAAATAAAACTAGCATATATGAACCTTCAAGGCTTGATTATAAAGTTCTCTGGTCTTACATAGATTTTAGTAACACTGTTTAGCTAAGAAAAGAAAACAGCCTTAATTTAAGGACCACAATGCTCACAGGGAATGAGACAGATAATCTCTTTTACTGTTTTACATAGTTCTTGTACCCAAAGCTCCCAAAAAGGTTTCCCTGAAGCAAAAGTTTATGCATATAAATAATGGATAGTTCACTCAGTTTTCTTGCTGTCAAGGAAACCGTCAGTGGATGTGCATACATGTTTGTGTCTGGTACTGTGGTGTTATTAGCTGTTGCCTGGACTCTCACCTGTGTGATGATCTGTCTAACAGCAAACTGGTACTTGCTGTGTTTGCTTCACAAGACAGCTCTGCATTTGTTATTAACAAAGCATTGGTCTTTATGTGACTATGTGTAGTGAACAGCCCAGACATGATTTCTGCCTGCATAAAACATGCATGTCTCAC